CTTTCTTCCCTGCATTTTTTTTTTTTTTTTTTTTTTGCTAGATTCCTTAGTTGATTGCTTGCATTGCTTGCTGAGGACATCCAACCGATTTGCATGGATCAATGCAATCGGCCCATACCAAATTGACAGAATTCCAACAGTGAATTGCGTCAGAATTAATTTTTTTCTTCCCATCTCAACCATTCTGTCATCTCATTTGTATATTATTTGCACAACCCAAATGTTTCTGTAAATCTTCCATAAATATCTTAGTTTGTGGTGGTGATGGTGACGGTGCTGGTGATAGTCTTTTTTTTTCTATGTTCTACAAATCTGAACTATAATAGGAACTTCGTTGTATTTTTTGGATCTTCTTTTCCTCTTTTTTCGCGGTTCATTCATTGTTTCTGTCCCAAATAATCAACACTCAACAAATAAAAAACCCCACGCTGAAAGAGCGTCAGAAAAGTCTGATAATTAATTAGTGGTTTTGCAGAAAGCTTCTTCTTTCGGTTTTCTGCTTCGTAAAAACTCGAAAAAGAAAGAAACAAAAAGTACTTTGTTTATTTGCACATTTTATTAGCCGTTTTTTTCGTTTTTTTTCTCGTTGGCTAAATTAATGTACAGATCTCAAATTAAAAAATTTGAGCTCTTTCTTCTTCAGTTTTACGTAAAAAATTCAAATTTTGGACGCAACAAGCACAAGCCAAATCTACTTTTGTCAGTTATGATGTAAAGATTGAAAAGAAATAAGCTGATTTGAGTATCCTTTGAGAACTATGCTGAAGTACTGTTGTAGTAACAAATAGCTGACAACAGCTTTAAGTGTAAAATATAATTTTTGAAAATAAACTACGAGAAAAAGTAAAAGTTTGGTGAGAAAAATAATGAATAAAAGAAACAATTATTTTTTTTTCAAAAGAATGAGATGAAACCAAAGTTGTGTAGATTTTGTTGCTGACCCGGACATCAAGCTTAAGTTTTTTCTTCAGCTTCACTTTATTGTTCCATTTATGTGATTGAAGTAGAACGATGTTTTATTGGTACAATCTTTGCTGATTTAAGCTGTTTAAAAGGTGAGTTTTCTACCTGAACTTTTTTCTACTCACTAAAGCATCGATAAATTTTAAAAGGAAAAAGTTTACAAAATTTGATAGTTAGTGCTTACCCAAATACTCTGCATTAGTGCACACAATTATCCTACCATTGTTTTGTCAACTTTTCTTAACAGACTTATTGCTGCTACCTTAGTTTAATGACAGATAAAGGTAAAGGAAAAAACAAAAAATCTCATCAAAATTTCTTTCTGCTTGTTTTGCTTAAGTTATTTCTTTGAAACACCAGCATTTTAGTGCCTGAAACAACAGAAGTAATCAACAGATTACCTGCTATTATTTTACATTTCAAATTTAAAACTATAAGAAAACAAAACTTATTAGTGCCTTTTTATTTTAAACTGATAATGTTTCATATACATTGTTTAAAAAATTGATATCAATAAAAAATTGGTCAGATGAAGCAGAAAAAAAAACTATTTTTAATAGCCACTTTTAACGTAACTATTGGTATCTGTTTTGCTAAAGTTTATAGGTGATGAAACCACCAAATATGTCGTCGTTTATAAAATATAGTTCAAAAACTAAACAGTTACTAAGCAAATGATCTATTGAAGACAAAACCAGCGGTATACCTCCCGCACTAAATTACTTCTTTTTTTAATTTCTAAGTGCACTTTTTACCACTGATAAAGTTTTTTTCGAAGAAAGTCTTTGATCTTAGTCTCTTTGAATGTGTAAAAACGTATAAATTAAGACAAATTCTTAAACTTTCAGCTCAACCGGTCATATTTTAAACAATCTATGTTTTTCATAGATAATGAATATTTGATTTTGACAAGCGAATATTTAAATTTTTATGCGTTTTTTTACAGCTCTAAATAAAACAGAGCAAATGAGAAAACAATACTTATAATTAACTAATGACTCAAATTTTTTCAAGAGATAAATGATTAGAAAAGAAGAAAGTAACATATTGGAACATTGGAAGTTCTGCGGGAGAATTTTTGGTGATTTTGGACACCAACGACACATTGAAACAGATTTTAAACAAGCAGAATTAACATATCCATTCGGTCTAAATAATCGGCTAATTATGTCGTCTATTATGCATAGAAATAAACGAAAACAATCAAACAGTACCAACCTATCTTCTTGTCTATTCATCGCAAAATTAGTGTTTCTTAACAGTCATTCTGTAAGAAATTTAATTTAAAAAGAATACTTACCATTTTCCTGTATTACTTCTTGACTTTCAGATGTCTTTCAGAAACTCAGTAACAACAGTAAAGCTTTGTTAAAAAAGTTTTTTTTCTGGTTCACTTTAAGCATTAAAAATACTCAACAACAAAAAAAACTGTACTCATTACACAAATATATTATTGTTAATGTGTTGTACAAACCTTTGTCTGCTTTTTTTTTTTCACATCCAATTACTGTTTTAAATGTCAGCTTTTATACAATTAAAACAAAAAATTTCTGTTATTTAAACCGTAAGAGGAAAAGCGAAAAGAAAAAGAATACAACTAATCTATACTTTGACAGCATTTTTAATAGCACTTATATATTATAATAAAATAATACAATTTCAGAGCTGACAACAAAAAGAATCCTTTTATTTTTTTATTTTAAATATACACTGCTATTAATGGATAAATCTTAAGAATACAGTGAAAGAATTTGCCAAAAAAAAGCAATATTTTTACAGATATCAAAAAAAAGAAACCCGCAAAATTCAGAATGGAATAATATTAACAGCAACAACAAAAGCAACCGTAACGAGAAGAGTAGCAGTTACAGTGGTGGAATCAACGTCCACCACGGGTCTACAGATTCTCCGCTTCTATTGCTTCTTCACTATAATTGCGAATCTGTGTTGTTACAGTTGTCACTAATCTGTTTCAGTGAGATGCAACCTGTTGACCAGGTCGTAGCGGAAACCTGGCCGTTTTGGTAGAAAATCTGGCAAACATATCGCTTAAACTTGTTACATCCAAATTATAATGTTGATTTTCTGAATCCGCAATATCCTCTTCTAATTGTCGCTAAAAATTCAAGCAGTGGATAAACTAGCGGTGCTTAAATCTATTGTATTCAAAAACAAGAAGTGGCATAAATAATTAAGTAAAAAAGTAAAGATAAACAGTTTAAAATACAAAAATATTATATTATTATTAAAAAAAAAAAAGTTTTCTTTTCGCGATTATTCAATGACAAGAAATTAATGCACAAAAATTTAAGCCTTCATATCTTCGCAATTTTAGCAGCAATCAATTATATTTGCAAAAAAAGAATTTTTTTTGGCGAATTATTTCAAACAACATATTTTTGCTGTGCACTTTCTAACAACCCAATAAAACAAAAACACCACTTACCCTTCAAAAAAGCACTTAAACAATAATTAGTCATAAAGAATATTAATAATCGTTAATAAGATGACATTTTCCCAAATACTATCATTAATAAAAAAAAAAAAAAAGAAACTGACTTCCAGGATAGAGTAAATACTATAAGTGAAGAAAAAACAGAAATTAATTACCTGTAAAGAAACAATATAGTTTATGATATTCTGTAAAAGTTTCAACTGTGAATCACCTTCACGAGCTGAAGGAACCATTTTTTGTAACTTTTCCATCACTTCTCGTCTTTCACGTCGTTCGTTTGACACTTTATCAATACGACCTTTTCTGATCGAGGATGATGACGATGACGTTGTTGATGATGTTGGTGACGATGACAGTGAATCAGATTCCGATGAAGAATGATATGTAGATGACGGTAAAATTGCTGTTGACAAACGATGATGTGGATAATTGTTGGACGATGTACCGGCCATAATTTTCATAGTTTTAAAAGTGACCAAGGAAAAAGAAAAGAAACGAGGGATATCAATAAAGGTATCAGTCGTTAACGATAACGTTGAAATTTTCACTAAAAGTAATCAAAATAAGTTTACCAGAAAATTAAAAAAAAAAAAGTTTAAAATCACGCTAATAGCAGCAATTGCAATAGTAATAGCTTCTTTTCTCTTTTTTTTTTTTTAAAACAGCTGTATAACACACAACTGAACAGAACGAGAAATAAGTGAATTTAAAGAGTGACTGACTGAATGAGTGACCAGTGGGAAATATAAGAGCAAAATTAACGGATGTCGATGTATTCAACAACCAACGGTTATATGTATATATACATATATGTCTATGTGTGGGTCTATGTATGTGTGCTGAAAGACACAAAATGTTCACGAGTTGTGCAAAAATACCGCCTTCCGTAATTTATTCATTCATTGATATATACGTTAAAAGAGAAGAAGGAGAAGAAGGAAGAAAAGAAGAAGAAACGAGAGGGATTTCCAACAGACTAAATATGTGTGTGTCTGTGTGTTTGTGTGAACCAAACCCGCCTTACATCAAACTCACTTTCATCCCGCTTTCCTGGTCCCCGCCCTATCCCCCTCTCCTCCTCCTGCCCCCTCTCTTCTCAACAGAAAAAAAAATAACTAAATAAATAAATAAAAAATTGAAGAGGTCCCCAGCTGCATTGCCTAAACCCCGAAGAAAATGCGCACACCTGTGGATACGTCGATAATACTTCAGCATTTTTGATGACCAATATAAACTGCAGTTCAGCAGTATGGAGCCGTAATATCAAGGCTAAAAGAAAGAAAAAAAGTAGAGAAAAGAATAAAATAGAAATAAATGAAACATAAAACTGATGTTATGTTCACCTTCAAACTATAGGAAAGCCGATTGACCAGCAATATATATATACCAAAGTAAGTCAGTTAAATACTGCACACGTGCATACACTTTCTTTTTTTTTCCTTTTTTTTGTGCTTTGTTTTGTTTCCTTTTGTTTTCCTTTTTTTTCTTTTGAAAAAAAAAATCCTACTTTATGCTTATTTCTTTTGTCTTCTCATTTTTTCTCTGTATTAATTTTTTTTCTTTTGCCTGTTTCCTCTTTCTTCTCCTTTACCTCTTTTTTTTTAGTTTTTGCTTTTATCCTAAAAAATGAATTGAATAACTTATACTGCCACTTTTCGTCTATCAGAAGAACATAGACAAAAGAGACGAGCGAAAAAAAAAAGGATATAAAACTGTACAAATATGTAATAATTGAATTTTACTTTAAATATCGACATGTTATTATTCTAAAAAAAAACTTTTTTTGTTGTATAATACACTATAACTATTTTCTCTTCCTTTTTTTGCCGTTTTAAATCAAAAATTAATTCTTACAGACAAAGAACCATATGCAAACCTTATGGTTTTGACCGTTTCTAGCTGCAACTAGTTTCTTCTCCGGTTGTCACTAAGCGTTAAATTTGTGTGTTTCAACAAAACAACAAATGTTTAGGAACAGATACACAGGTGAAAAAAAAATTTAAAAATAGAACGATTTATAAATTGCAGTTACATTTAAATTTTTTGATCATTTGTAGAAAAAAAACACCAACAACAACGTTGTACAAATGTGAACAGTGAGAGAATATTATGACTAACAGCTGATGTTATATACGCTGAATTAAAATTACTGAAAAAAAATTTTTTGCTTGCCAGAAACGAGCATATGGACACAGCCAAATGGAACAGAAAACCGATATATGGGAACAGAATATTAAATTCTATGCTTCGGTTTCTTTGCGGAATAGGGATGGGGAAGCTTTATTTTGAAGCCATTTTTAAAT